CTTTTCATTAAAGGGGAGGAAGCATAATTCTATCAAAGACGGAGTAAACTACGGTACCGAAATAGAATATTTTGGTAGCATACCGAAAAATTGCTAATGGAAGATAAAATTATAACATCAATGAAAAGTTTACGACTATAATGAACAAAATTATAATATTAATAAAAAAATTATAATAGTAGTGAATAAAATTATCACAATAGTGAAAAAAATTATAATATCGGTGAAAAATTTACAACAATAGTGGACAAAATTATAACATCAATGGACAATTTACTACNTGAATAAAATTATCACAATAGTGAAAAAAATTATAATATCGGTGAAAAATTTACAACAATAGTGGACAAAATTATAACATCAATGGACAATTTACTACAATAATTTGCACAATTACTGCAATAATGAGCAAACTTTTACCACCATTTGAAGTACCAAAACTATATTTTGTGGGTTTGTGATCGATCACTAATATTGACTGATCGATCAGTGAAAAAATTACAACATCAGTAAAAAAAATTATAATAGTAGTGGACAAATTTATAACATCAATGAAAAATTACAACATCAGTGAAAAAATTTATAACAGTAGTGGATAAATTTACAACATCAATGAAAAATTTACAATAGTAATAGACAAACTTTAACCAATATGTTGGTAAAAGTACAAACGACACTTTTAATCACATTTGTCGTAAATATAACACCAGTGCATCCTATTGATAATATTATGAGCATNGTAAAAGTACAAACGACACTTTTAATCACATTTGTCGTAAATATAACACCAGTGCATCCTATTGATAATATTATGAGCATTAAGGATAAATTTACTACTAAAAAAAAGGTTAAATTAAAACCATGGTGAATAAATTTACCACAATTGGGAAAATGTTATGACATCAGAGGAAAAATTTATTATAATTTAGGGTTAAATACAATGATTATGTACAATTTTCACTATTGTAAATTTCTCTCTAATGTTATAAATTTTTCATTGTTGTTGTAATTTTGCCCATTGTTGTGATAATTTTTTTACACAAATATTGTAAACTTAGAATGATTGTGGTTAAGTTTATTAGTATATAGACAAATTTTACTTCATTTTGGTTAATATTATAAGAACCATGGATAATAATACAAACTTAAAGGTAAATTTATAACATCAATAGGATGCACTAGTGTTATATTTACAACAAATGTGATTAAAAGTGTCGTTTGTACTTTTACCAACATATTGATTAAAGTTTGTCTATTACTATTGTAAATTTTTCATTGATGTTATAAATTTACCCACTACTATATAAATTTTTTCACTGATGTTGTAATTTTTCATTGATGTTATAAATTTGTCCACTACTATTATAAATTTTTTTAATGATGTTGTAATTTTTTCACTGATTGATTAGTCAATATTATTGATCAATCACAAACTCACAATATAGTTTTAGTACTTTAAATGGTGGTAAAATTTTGTCAATTATTGTAATAATTGTGCACATTATTGTAGTANTCACTGATGTTGTAATTTTTCATTGATGTTATAAATTTGTCCACTACTATTATAATTTTTTTTAATGATGTTGTAATTTTTTCACTGATTGATTAGTCAATATTATTGATCAATCACAAACTCACAAAATATAATTTTAGTACTTTAAATGGTGGTAAAATTTTGTCAATTATTGTAATAATTGTGCACATTATTGTAGTAAATTATCTATTAATGTTATAATTTTACCAACTATTATTGTAAATTTTTCACTAATATTATAATTTTTTCTACTATTGTGATAATTTTATCCACTACAGTTATAAATTTTTCATTAATATTATAATTTTATTCAGTATAATCGTAAACTTTCTCCTAATGTTATAATTTTATTTTTCATTCGCAGCTTTTCAGTATGATATGAAAATATTCCATTTCGGTGCCGTACNCTAATGTTATAATTTTATTCAGTATAATCGTAAACTTTCAACTAATGTTATAATTTCATTTTTCATTCGCAGCTTTTCAGTATGATATGAAAATATTCCATTTCGGTGCCGTACTCTGCTCCAGCAAAGACATTTGACTTTTAACAAAGCTATATGTCATTGTTGATGGAAGAACCCCATCTAGTGGCCCTCTCTCTCCCCTACCCTACACCATCATTATCACTCAGGTTTATGACATCAAACCATTCCACTACCAAGAATCAAGTATTAATTCAATGCCTTAACCCTTTCCGCGAAACAAAGGCTTGGTTGTCCGNAGCCATATGTCATTGTTGATGGAAGAACTCCATCTAGTGGCCCTCTCTCTCCCCTACCCTACACCATCATTATCACTCAGTTTTATGACATCAAACCATTCCACTACCAAGAATCAAGTATTAATTCAATGCCTTAACCCTTTCCGCGAAACAAAGGCTTGGTTGTCCGTGACTTTGAATTAAAGTTAAATGTCGCCGGAAATTCTTTTTTTGTGAAAGATCTAAAAGATTAGGAAAAAAAAAAAGTTCATTTAGGTAGTCATGCATCGCCATTAAATGAAGTCATCTCGTTTTAACACATGGATACAGAAAAGATGCATGATTAATGTAAATGATTCCATCACAGCAGCTATTGGCACAGTTGCTAAAGCACTGTTACAGATCTGAAAGACGATAGAGATCACGGGAACCATGGGTTGGGGGTGGTGGGGGTTGGGGGAGATTAGGCAAAACTGTTAACAAGTAGGAAAAAAAAGAAAGCAATTTTAACTTAGATACCTGCACCTGACATGCCGTGACATTGGCACTATAAGTAATGTGCGCCAGCTTCGGTGATCCAGTTTGCTTTCTATGCGCCCTCACTTTTGACCCAATCAATCAAATGTTCAATCGTGAAATGATGTTTCACACCAGGTTCAGAAGAAAACATCCAACAATCCCTTGATCTTCAGAAGCCAGTCATGTTCAATGTTTATTCCACCAGAAGGCATCCATAGTTTAAGACCCAATCTGTTCAAATGACCATGATTGTTGTAAAGCACAAGAAGCTTCAACCTTGCAACGAACATGATAATGGGAAACTTGCAACTGCTTTTAAGGCAATAGAAATTAAAAAAGGTCCAATTCCAAGCAAACCACATCACAGAGAAATTGAACTCTCCAACGATTGCCAACCTTGACGAAATGCATCAGGCTAATATATGTGAGACAAGTTTTGAATTCGGATTCCTCCCACTATTTTTCTTTCGGAGAATGCTCTTGCCTCCCATTTGACAAGATTTCACATACGGATCCCTTCCCGTTCATCAAACAGGGATCCCATGGAAGATCTAAGCTTTAGAACAAGAGTTTACTATTACCTCCTCAAGCTTGACAAAAGCAAACCCTGCAGGAATGAATGGGATGGTGGATACACATTGTTTGCTGACTCCAAGAATTCTATTAGTTCTTTTATTTGGGATGCCAGCATGTAGACTTCATCAGCTTGATTCTTTGTTATCCATTCTTCTACATTCCTGTGGAAGGCTTAATTCTCAGTTGTTTGACATAGAAGAGAAGGAACAAATGTAACGAGGTGAACATCCAAAAAAATCAGAGAACACTCGGACACAAATTCTGTAGTGATAAAATACAACACCAAAGCATACTAAACCACAGAATCTGTGAAAACAAAAAGTAAAGAGGCAAGGTTGCGGGGGGTACTTATTTACTAGTGACTTGCAAGTTCAGATTTTGTCTCTTTTTTTTTTTTTTAATTATTTTTATCTTTCATAATCTTGAACTGGGAGCTGACAAAGTTAAGTGAGAAATTGCTTATGTTGCAAGCACTAAACATTTTGACTTTTGACCAAATAATGTTTCTGAATTGTTTCAGAGCTTTAAATCCATATCCAGCATTAGAAGGAATTATGATGAGTTGATAGGTTTCAATATTCAAGACACAAACAAGCAAGATCCCAAAGTCCAGTAGAACCTAAGAGTACCAGGTACACAAATGCATGAGAATGTGGAGTTAATTTGATCAAAGACAGGTCAAATCTATCTCGAACTCCCAACAATATGTCCAGATTCCAGAATAAGTAGGATGAGGTAGAGTGCTTTACTAAATGCAATACTTTTTGGAAATCCAAGACACACCCAATGGGACAGTGATTTCAATAAAACTGAGGACAATGACTCTGCTAATTTTGCACAATCCAAAGCAGATTATGGTTTGTACTGAAACTGAAAGTAATGCTGTGGTGTTAATCAAGATCCATTCATCCACATCCACAATGGTTTAACACAGGTTTGGGAAGAACATCTACCCAGTCCAATTCTCTTCTCAGTTCATACCGTCTGTGTAAATACGAATATCTAAAAACAGGCATTTGTCCTGTAATCTGTTCCTTAACCTCAAAAAACTGAAAGACCTTGAGTGATGATTGAAAAACTGAGATCCTCAGATGTTCTTGATGATCAAAATGTTGAAGGAAGCTATCAGTTATTAATGCACTTTGCTCATTAGGCCCCAAAAAACGTCAATAGGTTTTCCTCCCTTTCCAAATCTAAGGCACAATAAATTTAGAGCGCATGGAGACCACTTTCGAAGAACTAACCTTATTTGAAATTCAGTACCATTACTGCAGTCAGAAAATAGCACCTTGATAGTAGGGTAAATATCCATCTTGGCAACTGGTTCCATAGTGCTCAAACAGTATCCAGTAGAGCACCATGAATGTGGGTTTAAGAGAACAAGTTGCAATACAGGACATTTGGTATGCAGATCTTTAACCACAGTTCGAAATGATAATTCATCTTCCGCACTTTCTAGCAACTGATTTGTGAACATCCTCTCCAAGGTGTAATTCCTGTCCATCATGATGAAATTATTGAATATCCAATTATTGTAACTCTATCAACACTAACAACTGAACCAAATTGTGAAAGAGGTAGGTTATAGACCTACATAACAATGTTATTTCAATAAAAAGAGGAGGGAAAAAGGAGAAAATGAATAAACGAAGAAAAACATAAAAAACAAACTCTAAGCTGAGGACGTTTGTACAAAAAGAAGAAACAGAAATTGCATACAGATATAGGAAAAGAGAAGCTAATAATAATCCTAAATGATATGCGCCTTACATAAGTATCAGAAAAAATATTCTCAAAGATCCCCACTATGCTATATCAATCAGGACCAATAAACTCAAATGGAGCAAGGCAGTCGAGTTTGGCCATTGGGAGATACATCAACTATGCAGTAGGGGGGATTACCAGTTCTCACCACTCTTCACTTTCCATTTCTTTCTAATGCACCCTCTTTACCATGAAGGGCAATTAATTCAATTGCAATGTTGGCCATAATCAGAACTGTACTTAAAATTATCTCACTTTATGGATCCTCACTTTCACCACAGTCAAAATTTTTGGTCCCATCTCTTCATCAGAGTACTTCATCTTTGCCTATTTATAACCAAGTGCATGTAATTACAACTTTAAAATGTGTATAAACCCTTAACCTGAGCTTACATGTGACACTTATGTCAGACAAGAATGAGCCGATGGCTCACACATAACTAGATGAAGTGAAAGCTTCTACAACTAATTTATACAGAAAGAAAAGCCAAAAAAGAGAAACAAAAAAAAATTCTTACTACCCCTAGAAAAAAAAAAACCAAAAAATTGCTGCAGACATCAATACATTGATGCCTATCACAATTGTTTACCTGAACAAATCACTTGATCCACCAACAGGCAGGCAAGTTGAGATGTAACACTTCAACAATCGAACTCCACCATCCAATGGTGAACAACCATTTATGCAAGGGTATGCTCCAAGAAGGTATGAACAGTGAGGGCACGGAAATTCAATCCATGAAACATCTTTCGAAAGATTGGAGGATCTAGCCATGAAACCATTCCCAAGATAGCCATTAAGAAAAATTTTCTGATTTGGTAGTAGTTCAATTCCACATTTTGGCTCCTTTGGAGAAGTTTCAGATGAGTCATGAGTGCAACATTCAGTATCATGGTTCTGAATATGTTTTTTTATATCAGCATGGCATCCATTATGCAATTCCATATTTCTTGTGATATCAGATTCATGACACACGTAAGATAAACTATCACCATTACTTGCCTTTTCAATAACTTCATGCTCCAGTCTTGCGCCTGGGTTATTTTCCCTTGGACAGAGACTACAAAATTTTTCGTCAAGATCTTGCATCCTCTGACTTAGATTCTCACAGGAGACTATGCTTTCATGTTTACTTCCACTCTCTTGAGTAACTTCGATTAAAAAACTGCCACCAGCATCATTCAGTTCGGACTCATAATCTTGGCTTGAATCCAAGTCAGGAAATTTACAGCCTACAAGGTCATCCTTGCAAAGCGTGAGAGATGTGGTACTCAATAGGCACACACCTGCTGCACATGCATAGGATTCTGCATACTTGGTGACCAGCTTCTCACTTATTCCCCCAAATGAGCAACAACAAGCCCCAAACCAATTGTCAGCTACCTCTCGCCAGTTGACTGATGGCATTTCCTTGAAAAATCTGTATAGGTGGGAAAGAAATACTTAGGGAAAAAAAGCTCTTACAGTCACTTTAACCATTGTATTGAAAGCATAGCATCTCTCAATTAAAGTCTTTTAAGTTTTATCCAAATTATTTGGGGTCGGATATATGAACTTAAAATTATTTAGGGTCGCACGACATGAATTTTATTTCTCCATGGTACTTTATAAAGGGATATATTACCCTTTAAAATATAGTGTCCTTATAACCAATAAAATACCAATTTCACCCCAATCCAGACTAGAGTTAGGATTCAAATTTTATTGCCACCCCCTTACCGACCCTGACCTCGCACATTTTCTATTTAAAATGCCAATTTCACAACTATAACCAACCTGCACAGTAAAGTATAAATTAAGGAATATGAACGCACAAAAAAAAATGCTGAAATTTAGAAATGACGAGCATAATGAACAAAAAAAAATCCTACCTGAGGGACCTTGTCAGCTTATTTGAGCAATTTCTGCAGTAAAAGTGGACCTCCTCCATTGAAGATAAATTCTTAACTTCTGAACCTATTAATCATGATGAATGAGATAAAAAAAATAAAAAATTATAACAGTAGCAGTAGGAAGAAATTCTGCAGTAAAAAATTACCAGAATCCATAGAAAGAGTCCGCAATTCATCCGATACCACATTTCGTGGAGCAGACTCATAATCTTCAGATAAATTCAACACGGACTCAAAGTTTAAACCGATCGGGTGATCGACTGGAAGAAGTAAAACAAGTTTTATTTCGATGTGATCGTCCAATGCGCTGAACTGAACCGGAGCTTCAACATCGACCAAAACCCTAGGAATTGGAACTCTCAGTGAAGTCTCGACCTCGTCTTCGAAAAAGCTGACTACTAGTAGAGATTGTTCGAGCACTAACTTGACTTCGAGATTGGTGCATTGGCACGAAGGTTTGGTGTTCAGATCGAATAGGAATAATCGGAGGGTTGGGGTGTGTGATTGGGCTTCCCATGTGAACCGCCAGTCGCTAGGGTTTTCAGAGGCGCGAAGATCAGTTGAAGATGACATTTTTTTTTCTGAATTTTGAATTGGCGGTAAGTAATTAGTATAGTTTCTTGGGCTGGGTGTGTTTGAGCCCTTTGTCATTAGTTGATTTTGGGCTATAGCCCGTTTTCAATTAATAACTCTTGGGCCATAGCACGTTTTCAATTAGTTGATTTTGGGCCATAGCCCGTTTTCAATTGTAATGTCCTACCTTATCCAGTTTTACAAGCCCAATAAGTTTNTCGCCAGTCGCTAGGGTTTTCAGAGGCGCGAAGATCAGTTGAAGATGACATTTTTTTTTTCTGAATTTTGAATTGGCGGTAAGTAATTAATATAGTTTCTTGGGCTGGGTGTGTTTGAGCCCTTTGTCATTAGTTGATTTTGGGCTATAGCCCGTTTTCAATTAATAACTCTTGGTCCATAGCACGTTTTCAATTAGTTGATTTTGGGCCATAGCCCGTTTTCAATTGTAATGTCCTACCTTATCCAGTTTTACAAGCCCAATAAGTTTGTCTTCATTGACTTGCCCACACGTTTTTACTTGTCTTCATTTGATGGATTAACATTATTATAATCTAAATTCATTAAAATTAAACTCTTACCTTATAACAATTGTCAATCCAATGGGCTAGTTTCACTGTCCAAAAACTTTTATATTGGAGATCATGTCATAGTCCACTAGCATTAAGAATAATTAAATAAAAGTATTCACTGGCTGGCTGGCTAACACCGACCCATATGTCGGATCCACTGGTCAATGGCACACAAGTTGATATTCCATGTTTTTAAGCCTTATTATATAGATCAAGTACACCACAAATCATAAAAGAAATGGACCAATTTGATTCTATGAATTTAATTTATTACTGATATGTTACTAGAGATATAATTCGAGAACAGTATTAATAGTAGTTTGTGTTCAACAGGACTACACCAAAACAGCTAGCACATGTGAACATAAATGAGTCGTAAATTTAAACGTCTGTGTGGATAGTTTGTTTTTGATCAGACCGGAAAAGAAATTAGTCAAAGTGCACGTAAATTATTTTAGACATCTTTGTCCGTCAAATAAAAAAAATGACCAACTGTTTTGTGACTTGAAAATTATGGTTATGGACACTGTAATTCGTTGGATTTTAAAAAGTACTAATAATAAGAATGTTTTAGGTTAAGTGATGGAGAAACTATAGTTAGTGTCATCAGATTGTGACCTAAATGTGCAGCATTTGTCTTTTAGCAATGATCACATTCAAAATTGAGCAAACTAAGACGTCACAGGGTTACAAAATGGTTGATTAAGTTTCATAAGGAATCTTTGGTATTTTTTTTTTTTTTTAATTTTAAATCATGTGAATGCTATACAGCTAGAACCGAGTCAGATGGAAAGTACACAAGGTAAAAGAACGATTTCTCCTCAAGAGGCTGTTTTATATGTCACATTTTCCTTTTAGATAATCCCTAAATCAAATTGCGTTCGATTCTCTAACACTATGGGTTGGGTATAACAACATTTTCGTCATTGGGTTGAACCGGTGGGTTCAATATTCCATCACGCGAGGATAAACAAAACCAAATTTATTTGATGTTATCTTATTGGGTAATTCAATTGATGATTAAATCTATTTAAATTTACGAATATACTAAACATAATGAATTCAAAAATAGTCATATCATCCTTAGAAACCATATATGTATATATATATATATATATATATATCAGATTATATTAAATAAATTCCAGAACCTCCAGCAGCGAGCAACCCACCATCCTATAATTTATAAGTTCAAGTAAGGTGTCTATTACTATTAGTCTGGTTTACAACTGAATAATATAACGTTAATTACAATTTTAAGGTAATCTCTACACAGAAGTACAGTCTGTACAGCACTCATCAGGAAAACAATAAAAAACACTGTTGCATGCAATAATGGAACTTTAAAATAACTAGGAAGCTGACCAAACAAGAAACACTGGAAAGCAACTTGCATTGCATAGATACAAGACAGATACATTACACATGCATATATAGATACAGGATCCAATCAATTTTTCGGTGTTATAATTCGGTTTTCATTCAAAATGAAATATGGTATGTGTAAAATTTTTCTTATTTTCTTAGTTTATTAATTTTTTCAATTTAAACCAGTTATGATATTGAGTTGGTACTGCAGGTTTATTCATAATATGGGTCGTGAAGACAAGGTACCCTATATATAGACAGAAAGAGAATGATATGAAAGTTAAAAAAATTGAATAGATATTGATGGTATATATACTACACGAATGAGTAGGGCTAACAATAGCTAAGGTCACTGAATAGCTCAGCTGGAGCATCTTGGCTCTTAGGAGTTAAATAGAAGGGGAACGGGGGTTGCACACAGAGAATTTATAATAGTTCACTAGTTCAAGAGTCGGCTAATCCACTCAAAAAAGAGTCTCTTGCTCTTGATGATTTTATTGATAATGGAAGGAGATTACACCCAGTTTTTTCGTTAGCTAGATGCTTATATTCTCTTGTGAGGATTATGCCTCTTATTTATAGGTGGTCTTGTGCCTCGCTTGATCTTTGGTGCATTCCTTACCTCTTTCTTGTAATGGTTAAAACTATCATGCAACAGTTGTGGAGGGCGTTGAGACAGTTGCGACTCTTCTGCTTTGATACATACCCGTTACTATTTGGGTGGTGTTTGGATGGAACTCAACTGTCTTTCGTGCTATCCTTGTGGAGATGCAATTGCAGGGATTGAAGGTCTGACCTCAAGATTCCTGGTCATCCAGGATGAGCTGAGTGACCAAGCTGAATACTCAAGTTCTACCTTAGATATATTTTGGGTATTATTAGATATGATTGCATAAAANCGGAGCATCTTGGCTCTTAGGAGTTAAATAGAAGGGGAACGGGGGTTGCACACAGATAATTTATAATGGTTCACTAGTTCAAGAGTCGGCTAATCCACTCAAAAAATAGTCTCTTGCTCTTGATGATTTTATTGATAATGGAAGGAGATTACACCCAGTATTTTCGTTAGCTAGATGCTTATATTCTCTTGTGAGGATTATGCCTCTTATTTATAGGTGGTCTTGTGCCTCGCTTGATCTTTGGTGCATTCCTTACCTCTTTCTTGTAATGGTTAAAACTATCATGCAACAGTTGTGGAGGGCGTTGAGACAGTTGCGACTCTTCTGCTTTGATACATACCCGTTACTATTTGGGTGGTGTTTGGATGGAACTCAACTGTCTTTCGTGCTATCCTTGTGGAGATGCAATTGCAGGGATTGAAGGTCTGACCTCAAGATTCCTGGTCATCCAGGATGAGCTGAGTGACCAAGCTGAATACTCAAGTTCTACCTTAGATATATTTTGGGTATTATTAGATATGATTGCATAAAAAATTTAGGTAGTAAAATGTTGTAAAAGAAAAAAATATAGGATATTATTTGGAAAGAAATGAAAGATTATAGTGGTATTTTGAGACAATACATGTAAGTATAATTATGTATGTTAATTGTGTCAGGTGAGTAAAGTTTGTGTCAAAAAATATTTCGTTTATACCTAATTTATTTATTAATTTGTGTCTAATATTCTATCGGGTTCGTATCGTGTAAGAATCGTATATAACTAATATATAAACGAATTGTATTATATATATATTTTTTATTGATTTCAATCATATTATATTTTATTTATTAATCATGTTGTGTCGATCCACTCGTTTATAAAAGGAGTAGCTTAAGAAAGATTCAATTTCTCGAATTTTATATCGTATTAGTATCGTATTAATCAATCATGTTATATTTCGACACCCGTGAGTACAATGAAAAAGTTTGATAGGAATAGTTACTATAGACAATTTGTGGGTATTGTAGTATTTCCCATGAATAAGCACCAAAACCCACGTCTTCCTTAATTAACAGTATTGATATATGGATTATCTTTANATATAGGATATTATTTGGAAAGAAATGAAGGATTATAGTGGTATTTTGAGACAATACATGTAAGTATAATTATGTATGTTAATTGTGTCAGGTGAGTAAGGTTTGTGTCAAAAAATATTTCGTTTATACCCAATTTATTTATTAATTTGTGTCTAATATTCTATCGGGTTCGTATCGTATAAGAATCGTATATAACTAATATATAAACGAGTTGTATTATATATATATTTTTTATTGATTTCAATCATATTTGATTCATTTATTAATCATGTTGTGTCGATCCACTCGTTTATAAAAGGAGTAGCTTAAGAAAGATTCAATTTCTCGAATTTTATATCGTATTAGTATCGTATTAATCAATCATGTCATATTTCGACATCCGTGAGTACAATGAAAAAGTTTGATATGAATAGTTACTATAGACAATTTGTGGGTATTGTAGTATTTCCCATGAATAAGCACCAAAACCCACGTCTTCCTTAATTAACAGTATTGATATATGGATTATCTTTACTTTTAGTCAATTAAAAACAAGTAAAATTTCCTCTTTTATGTTGGGATTTCTCACGATTTAAATCCACTAACAAACACACACAATCGAAGAACAAATCAAGAATATAAAGCAATAAGAAACAAGAAAGAACAAGACACAGATTTTACGTGGTTCGGCAATTTCGCCTACGTCCACGAAGCTGCAGGGATTTCACTATTGAGAGAGTTGAATACAGAGAGCGGCTGTACCATCCACGATTAACCCTAATCACCAAAACAATAGGGTTTATATGTCCTACGCACTGGGCTGTATAACGGGCCCAAAAAAATTTTCCTCGGGGGCGTTGCCCCCAAACCCCCACGAGGCTTGTCCATGAGCGCTACGGCTTGGGCCTATCGGCCCAAGCCTTCGCTCCANTCGTATTAATCAATCATGTCATATTTCGACATCCGTGAGTACAATGAAAAAGTTTGATATGAATAGTTACTATAGACAATTTGTGGGTATTGTAGTATTTCCCATGAATAAGCACCAAAACCCACGTCTTCCTTAATTAACAGTATTGATATATGGATTATCTTTACTTTTAGTCAATTAAAAACAAGTAAAATTTACTCTTTTATTGATATAAGAAATAGTAGCAACTTACTTCCACTTACAGAGATCAATCACCACTTCCCCACACTAGACCTTTGAGAACCTAACCAAACACGTCAAAGTAAAATACCCACAAAACCAATTACATAGCACTACATGAACACATCTGCCGAAGCCATGATGGGTTGATTCACATAGAGTAAATTCCACGGGTTCAAGAACTCATCACAATTAATCATCTGATCATCTTCGGTTTCATAGAGTTCAGTACATCTTCCAGCTGAGTTCAAGCAGTTTATGATCTCATTGAGGGACTGTAACCTGTGAGTCAACTCAGCCATCCGCGCTCTGAGAACTGAGTTCTCTGCCTCGGCGTTCAAGTACAGCTGAGTCGTGATGTTCATGTTGGTGACAATATGGTTGCTCTCGTTTTTGAGTTGACCCACTTGTCCCATCAAATCATCCAAGTGCTTCTGTTTCCTCATCCTTGATCGCCTTGCTGATTCGCGATTTGATATCATTCTCTTTCGCTTCCTTTGATCCATTATTTGCTGGAGAGATGATTCAGAACCCGAGTTCTGAAGCTGGCTAGACCCTGAGGAAGCTCCACTAGGCGAAGCCATATTATTGATAATATGTTCAGAAAAAAACTTTAACGCTGTATAGATGATGGATTGGCTCAAGTTGGACTGTGTTTGATGAAAATTTATTCAGATACGTATGTGAGAGGTTGATGATATCTCTTTTTAAGTGTCTGTTTGTTTCTGAGAAGACGTAGAACCAGTAGAGGAAGACAACAGAGAAGGATTGGACTAAGTGGGTACGGCGGCGAAGGGTAGAGTTTATGGTGAACCCAGAAAGAAGGACTTCACTGAGTACTGGAGACATGAATTTCAAACATCAAGAAACCTATAGTAAGCATCAAAATATATATCCCAGAGATGTGAGAACTAGGACATCTGCAAGACCAACGAGGAGAGGGATATAAGCTTTGTGAATTGTGAGAAGAAAGTTCAGAATCTCTGAGATTTAGCAGAGGAAGTGAACTGAGAGAGCCTGATAAGTGATAACACACGGGAAGAGAAGGAGAGGAGAAAGAGGTTTTTGGTGGTGGCGATGATGGAATTTATAGAGAAATAATGCCCATTGAAACTAACGAAGAAGGAATAATGCTACTCAAAAAGTATGGCATATATAACAAAGGAAGTTGGGTGTGCATAAAAAAGGAATACTGCTACTCAAAAATTATGGCGTCTATAACAAAAGAAGTTAGGTGCGCACAAAAAGGCACGCGAAGTGAACTCCAAATAGTAGTTTAAATGGTAAAAATAACGGCTATAAACTTGAATGTCTTAATTTTTAATTTTAATAATTTTTTGAGGTAAGACTATAAGACATCGTGAATATCTTAATTTAAGTGTGAATAGTCTGTTTTGTTTAAGTACGAATGATCTGTCTTTGATTACATCAAAAAATAAATTAATCGATATATAAACATATTAGTTCAAACACATCTCACATTGGCAAAAAAAATAAAAAATAAAAAAGGCAAAAGCGAGTCTTCATGCATAACTTTGACTAGGACATGGGGGTAATATTTGGTCACTTGAGTGTATCCTTCAGCTAGGCCATGTTGCTGGTTGAAAGGAACTTGTCGAGATGGCATAAAGAGTAACGTTACGCTGATTAAATTTAGAAATTAAATTTAAAGTTTAAATGATATAATTGTATATTATTTAGAATTTTTATTAGTACTCAAATGACATAAAATTAATTGAAAAAGTCTAAATCAACTGTCATGTCATTTAAACTCAAAATTTAATCTTAAACTTTAATCAATATAACGTACCACAAATATTTGAATAGTATTTTTACTGAAAAAAGTCTTTGAACGTACAGCATGACAGAGAGTAATGGAAAAAGAGCCAAGTGAGGTTGACCTTCGCGACTATGAATTTAAGTATGTGACTCCTCTAGCACTTGAAATACTTTGGATTCACATAGGGCTATGTAAGCGTCTCATTCGGACAGTATTTATTGAGCTTGAGTTGGACCGCAGTCTAACTTAGTAGAAGTCCGAAATAAATCAACTTGGAACAAGTGATAACTCTACAAACCCACTAGACATATTAGGTCGGGGAATGGGAGCACAGCACTGGACCAGTTGATAAAAACTGCAACATGACACGTGGACAAGAGATAAGAGAACAGTACCTAACAATTTAGTGGAAGAAAATCAACGCAGTAATAAAAATAACTCACGTATTCCAATTGATGCATGGTAGATGCAGGAAAGTATCAGAGAGGACACCTCCTATGACAAGACAAACACAGAAAAGGCCACATAATCAGCCAAGAAGGGATCGCCACAAAACCCTAACAACCAGATGTATAAATAGCTAATGAATTCATACGGAAAGAGAGGGATACCACCCAGAAGTAACCTATATAATATTTTGTAAAAGGATTCCAGTCAAATACCTTGCAACCACAATCTTTTTCTCCAAGTAATGCAGTTTTTAAGAAATAAGAACCTCCCTTACAGTGGATATAATCTTAATCTTCCGGTTAGAGTGAACAACTCATATTGTTGTCTTCATCTTATATTTGACACTTAGCACACTCNCTGAATGTCTTAACTTTTAATTTTAATAATTTTTTGAGATAAAACTATAAGACATCGTTAATATCTTAATTTAAGTGTGAATAGTCTATTTTGTTTAAGTACAAATGATTTGTCTTTAATTATATTAAAAAATAAATTAATCGATATATGCACATATTAGTTCAAACACATCTTACATTAACAAAAAAAATAAAAAATAAAAAAAGCAAAAGCGAGTCTTCATGCTTAACTTTGACTAGGACATAGGGGTAATATTTGGTCACTTGAGTGTATCCTTCAGCCAGGCCATGTTGCTGGTCGAAAGGAACTTGTCGAAATGGCATAAAGAGTAATGTTACGTTGATTAAATTTAAGAATTAAATTTAAAATTTAAATGATATAATTGTATATTATTTAGAGTTTTTATTAGAACCCAAATGACATGAAATCAATTGAAAAAATCTAAATCAACTGTCATGTCATTTGAACTCATAATTTAATCTTAAAATTTAGTCAATATAACGTATCACAAATATTTGAATAGTATTTTTACTGAAAAAAGTCTTTGAACGTACAGCATGACAGAGAGCAATGGAAAAAGAGCCAAGTGAGGTTGACCTTCGCGACTATGAATTTAAGTATGTGACTCCTCTAGCACTTGAAATACTTTGGATTCACATAGGGCTATGTAAGCGTCTCATTCGGACAGTATTTATTGAGCTTGAGTTGGACCGCAGTCTAACTTAGTAGAAGTCCGAAATAAATCAACTTGGAACAAGTGATAACTCTACAAACCCACTAGACATATTAGGTCGGGGAATGGGAGCACAGCACTGGACCAGTTGATAAAAACTGCAACATGACACGTGGACAAAAGATAAGAGAACAGTATCTAACAATTTGGTGGAAGAAAATCAGCGCAGTAATAAAGATGACTCACGTATTCCAATTGATACATGGTAGATGCAGGAAAGTATCAGAGAGGACACCTCCCATGACAAGACAAACACAGAAAAGGCCACATAATCAGCCAAGAAGGGATCGCCACAAAACCCTAACAACCAGATATATAAATAGCTAATGAATTCATACGGAAAGAGAGGGATACCACCCAGAAGTAACCTAGATAATATTTTGTAAAAGAATTCCAGTCAAATACCTTGCAACCGCAATCTTTTTCTCCAAGTAATGCAGTTTTTAAGAAATAAGAACCTCCTTTACAGTGGATATAATCTTAATCTTCCGATTAGAGTGAACAACTCATATTGTTGTCTTCATCTTATATTTGACACTTAGCACACTCTTTATCACATACACACGTTCACACATTCTAAATTGTTCTATAGTCAAGTTCAATTGATTTCGAGCACTATCAGACCTTATGCGCTCTAATTATGTTTCACCCTCCAAGAACTCCAATCTTTCGTCTGTAATTTGAAGTTTTAACATAGCATAGCAGCATGATTTCATCTTTGCATACCAAATGAAAAAGAAGAGTTCATAATTGGCAGAACCATAAGTACTTAAAGTTGATTTCGTATCAACTATCCCTCCCTATCCGAGACGCGTAATTAGATAAGTGATTCAGCATATGATTTTTCACGATATAATCACATGTTTAAAGTCCATTTATTTTGTATGACTTCGAAAAAAATGGAAATTGCTTCCACAAAAAAGAATCGGAATCATATTATTGCTCTAAAATATGTTATTATCAATAGAAGAAATTCGATCGACAAACATATTTTAGGCAATTGTTTGAAATGAGTTCAAGTGCATTGTTTCAAGACTTTCTTAGATGAATTCTAAAAGGATAATCACACAATACAGTGAACTAATAAAAAATTCTTTCCTTTATTAATCCAATTAAAGGGATATTAGTTACAAAAAGAACTAAATTAATAGCCTTAATTACAACAATAATTATTTCTTAAAACTAATCTAAAACTACTCTTGAAAATGTCTAAATCGTAGGTCTTATAGGGGTTTGAATATGTCCTTTAACTTTTTCATTGTCCGTCTTTTATAACCTCTAACTACGACGGTTCTACCTCAATCGACAATTATCTTGTTGATAATCACAGACAATGATCTCCCTTTTTGAAACACAATATTATGGTTGATCATTTCACGCTTTACTTTAAATTCTGCCACGTGGCCTTCTCTTAATACCTTCAAATTTGTCGAAGTGTCGATGCATCAAACATTCTTATGATTCTATATTTTAGGTCCAAACATATATGGAGTCTTATTAAATGGATACCATTCTAATGTCAATGCGAGTCAGAATTAAATGGGCATATTTTGTGGGATATTAAGCGTTTAGCTGACGGATTGAGATTTCTTTCCTCGTTCACTATCAATAGATACTAAATCTAATTTCGTGGGTTGCCCTGTTCCGTATGTGTGCAGAGAAAGTTACCCAAAATTTTTGCTTGTAACAAACTTCAATTGTCCAATAAAAACATATTTCCTAGTTAAGACCAAAACATGGAAGCCATGATGATGCTTTGTTTTTCGACACAACTTGTTCTTTCCCAAGACTCTTCCAGTGACCCCATAAAATACACAATATGCTAAAGTCTTTGTCACAACCATCAAAATAATAGTGAACACCACAGCATTTTATTGCCAGAGAAAGAATTCTTTTTATTCTTAGTATACAAACATATGAATTAAAACTAAAAAGGACATAATCGTTTACGACAGGCCATGTCAGACAAAACTATGGTCGGAGCATGAATACAACAAGCGACACTACAAAAAAATCAACCATGTTTCAACATATGCATTTTACAAAGCTGAATTTGCCTTCTTTTTTTTTTTTTCCTTTAAATAGGAAAAGGAGTTTCAAAATTAGTGCATTACCGATGCGTTGGCATAAGCAGCTTCAGGATGGTAATAGAGCATTTCTCTCAACATCATCTCCCTGATCATCGGTTCTCCCATATTCTCGTCAATATCAAGATTAATTGGGGCTTGGGCAGGAGGGTTGCAGGTTGGATCATACAGACTTGACATGTAAGGGTGATATAGAGCTTCTGTTACTGTGATTCTTTTGGATGGATCGAACACAAGCATTCGTTGCAATAAGTCTAGAGCTAAAGGGTCAGCTTGAGGGTAAAGAGAAGAAAAGTGAGTTCCGCGAGAATAGGGAAGTGCTCTGATGAACCCCTTAGCCTTTGGATTATCAATGAACTCAAGATCGGTTTCATGTTGGCTGCCAAGAACGCTGATAATTAGTTTAAGCTGGCTGAGGCACTCGTTTCCAGGGAAGATGGGTTTTCGGCCAAGAATTTCTGCAAAAATGCATCCGACAGACCACACATCAATGGAAGTTCCATAGTTGTCACAGCAGAGAAGAAGTTCTGGTGCACGGTACCAGCGAGTGACTACATATTCAGTCATGAACTGCCCATTGTCTCTGCTAGTTCGTGCCAATCCGAAATCGCATATCTTTAGTTCACAGTTTGCATTGACAAGGAGGTTACCAGGTTTCAAGTCCCGATGAAGAACGTTTGCTGAGTGGAGATACTTTAACCCGCGAAGCAACTGGATTGAGCAGTGCACATCAGTAATAAGGAAAATAGCTAGAAAGTGAGAATCACCACAACCCAAATGTGACAAAAGGAAAAGAAAAAGGGAATGGAAAAAGTTGTGTGAGCAGTTAAAGCTTCCTATGCCACCACTTCAATATGAATAATGTCTCATGATCCAAATGAAAATAATGGCATACATACAATTACATGTCCAGAAAACTACAGCAATTTGTCATAGTTGACACAAAAAAAAAATTTCTTGTAGTTCAAAGTTCCAAAAAAAAAAAATGTTATAATTGCTACAGATTTACCCAAAACAGGGATATTGTAGAAGCATGGCACAAGAAACATAAGCCCAGCTACCCTTATTTATAGTAATAGTGAGAGAAAACACCATATTTAACATTAAATACTATGTTAATGCTGATAAGTGGGGAAGTTGACAAAAAAATCATCACACATTTTGACAGGTCCTAGGTTCGAAAAATTAACCAGTTCAAAGTCTACAGGATGAGTGAATTATTCACTAGTTACATATTGGCAATCAAAATACTACACACACGGATACACACCCTCACCCAATCAAGCGATCTATCCATGTAGATCAATTCCAATCATTGTCAAAAGATTTTTTTTTCAGTCTGATATCATTCAATTTTTCACTCTCATATTTTGCCACAATATGTTTTAAGTAAAAATTTCCCATGACTGAATCGGTGGATAGTGTTTACAGGGTTCCAGCCCAAGTTGAAGACGAAAACAGAGACCCACAGTTTTTCTATCCAGGACCAAACTAATTGCTATTATCACTTCATTATAAAGAGGACACTGTGCAGTGCTCCTCCAGCAAATGCTGGTGCTGGGAGAGATGGACTGATTAAGGATTTATTCTTGGACATTATTTGCACATGATGGTTGGTCTCCATGTTGAGCCTGCATTACCATGCTTGATAGCCTAAGATTAACAGTTACCTCTGGGACTCCTCGGTTTCCAGGAAAGACAAATGAAAACCAATATATACACATGACACCCACACTAGAGTTTTCATATCTTTGATTTCTGTGGCAGAAGTAGCTGACTCCGATAATTTTGCACTGAGCTTATTAACCTCACCTCCTAACTGCAAATTGGCTTTTTACAATCCGTATCTCTTCTTGCAGACATCTAGTATGATTCTCACAATGTCTTAAATAATTATGTCCACATACCACCATAAATTCAAACAGAACAAATTTTTAAACAATATATGCTGAGAAAGCAACATTTTTGAGCTGATCATGTCACATAGTTCAGCAGCAATGAAGGACTATGATACTCTTCACAATGATACAGACTCCTTTCTTGAAGCAGGTCCAATTTTCACTCTACTATTACAGCTATCAAGAGCGCACTATAATTACATATGGCTACACATCCAGTAAAATGCGTTATAGCAAAGTGTAACAAACAATTTACGTAGTTCCAATTTAACAACCCGGTGAATATCAATGAAACAGAAGCAACGAACAGAAGCAGAGGGGCGAACAGTTACCTGAAAGAGAAAATATTTGCAATGGTCACTAGACAGCGGTTGCGATGACTTAATAATCTGATGAAGATCGGTGTCCATCAACTCATAAACCAAATACACATCCTTGAAGCTACTCCTTTGAGAGGGTATCATAACATCATTCAAAGCAATCACATTCTCGTGCCTAATTTGCCGCAGAAGCTTCAGCTCTCTGAGGGTTCTCAGCGCATCAATTCGATTCCCAAACACATTGTATATTTTTTTGATTGCAACCTTTTCGCTTGTTTCCGTATTAATCGAAGAACAAACGACACCGTAGGCTCCTTTGCCTATTGGTTTGATCGGAATGTATTTCGTATCGATTTCAAATACTGTTTGCCACATTGTGTAGCAATGCTTCCCTCGCGGCCTATTACCAGTCGGTGGCTCCACGACTGTCGCCATTTCGCTGTCATTTTCCATCGAACACTCTTACCAATCAAATGGAGCACTAATGAAGGAATCACACACACACACACACACATATATAACCGGAAGAATTAACTCAAACAGGTGGTGAATCAGGTGACATAATAACCAAATTTGAACTTTTGAAGTGGTGATTCTATATGAATTTGTACGGTAGCAATGAGAATGGATACTTACTTGGAAGCAATTCGATCTTCGCTATCCTCTTTATGGCTTTAATGTAATACTGTACAGCTTTATCCAATAACCTAGTCACAGAATTTTCGCTTTCCTGTTTCTTCAATCTTCTTCAATTCACCGCAACTTTTTAACTTTATTAGCCGAAAAGCATCCATATCTTGAACGAAGTAAAACAGAAGTACCAATTCCCGAAAACGTTCAAGCTCAAAATACACGCACCCATCCTGATGCAAACGAAACAATTCCGATTGCTCTTCGATTTTCTCGCAAACCCAACACACCCGTCCAATTATCCAAATAAACGTAATTAACAACAATTATTGCATACTCCAGCATATCTGTTATTCATACTTATCTGAAAAGTAGATATAGATAGAGAGACGGAAAGTACAGAGAGAGAAAGACAGAATGGGGCATTTGGGGGTGGCGCATGACGATTGCCGCCACAGGCAAAGACAGCTACGGATCTCTTCCCTCCCACTCAAAGTTAGTTTGGAATACATCAGTGTCCTTTCAATTCATTCACGCGTTCATTAATGCACAATCCAACTAATGGACAAGCAAATTTTAACGGATATTCTTTTTTTTTTTTCTGAATAATAAATCACTTAAGCTCAAATTCAAATAGGGTTGAAATTGATGTGAGATAATTTAGCACGCGAAATTTTTTTAAAAATTACGATGGTGACTAGATTTGAATGATAACCATTTACTTCAAAATTTTAAATTATTAAAAATAATGTAACTAAATTATTAATTCTTTGACAATTTCGGGTGTGAAAATATAAATATAATAAAAATAAAGATGGTGAATTAATTGTACTTGAATTGAAATATTAGGAATTGTATATAACGTAGATAATTGGAGTAGCAACAAGCTATGTGTAAAAAAACCTAATCTGTGCCTCAAGTTGGCTAGGATGCGGCCTGAGAAGCTAAATTCATTTAACTTTCTTTATTTAAATGATACGAAGAATAACCCACTTCAAATTAAGCGGACTTGTGTGAATTACAAAATGCTTATAGGTACTGATTGTCTGTCTTAATTTTTTTTTTGCGTGTCTTGCTGATAATTTTCTCTTTATATGTCTATTATATTTGTCCCGAGTTTAATAAAATGAACCAATCACACGGATTGATTAGTTTATTTTGATTGGAATTGATCGTTGTTCAATAATTGGGTTTGGAATGATAATTTTTGAGAGAATTTTGATTATGAACTATGATTATTGTTATGTAGATTGTGAACTGTGAATTTTAGGTTTGATTAAAGACTTTGAGTTGATATTTTTCTAAACTCCTATTTTTAGAGCAAGCTCTTCCAAAATAGTCCACAAAAAATATTTAGGGACTATATTGATTTTTTTAATTAACGCAAATTAAAGTAATTTTTTTTTAAATTAATCGGTTGGTTTACATTGCTCTGTGTCTTTAAGCACGGATTACTCCTAGTAAAGTTATATAGTTGAGATTTATTATTATTTTTTTTCTTTTTTGCTATTGAAAAAAATAGTAGAGATAAAAGAGAGCGTTCAAAGATCACAATAATAAACTCTCATTGATAAAATTATGAGGTTCCTAATTGCGTCTATTATTCCAATCAAGAATAAATGTAATTAAAATAATATAACTGTCAATCACCGAATTTTAATGAACTTTAATATTTGAACATTTAACCTCGAGCAGAATTCGGTCAGTATTTCACCCCCTCCATGGTACATAATTGAGATTTGGTTTGCTCTAGAAAGCCGATTTTTTTATAGGTTTATTAGAGCTATGCAGAGAGTCAGCTGGCGTCACTAACTAATATTTTGCCATTTTTTTTTTTCCGTTTTTTGTCGTTATTGTTGACAATTTATTCGTTCTCGTGTTCTGCCCGTTATTATTCTGCTAAAGGACAGTAACTTCATTCTGAGTTTCACCCCCTATAGTAAGTCACGAGTTGCGTGTCCCTTACGGAGAAGATTACGGTACATCCCCTTGCATTTTCGGTATGGTACCGAAAATCTTTTTTCTTTTTTTTGGTTTGNGGGGGGGGGGGAGAGAGAGAGAGAGAGAGAGAGAGGTAAAAACACATACTGCTAAATGAGACAGAAATTGGCACTGGTAAAATAAAAGTAGACAATCGGATTGACTTGTTGTTCATTTACGATTTACAAAAATAATGGACGAAAGATGTACCACAATAATGAATAAGTTACAAAGATAATGAAATATTTATAGTATTACTTTCAAGATTTACAAAAATAATAGGTATAATAACAAAGATAATGATATTTTTACAAAGTTAATGGAACCAAGTATAACAATAATGTGGTATTTACGATATCAATAAGAAATATAAAAAAATAATGGAATAGCTACAAAAGTAAAAATATATTTACAACAAAAATGAAAAAATTTACGACTCATAGTCAATGTAATAGATGATCGATCATAAAATATTGATTGATCGAATAAATGTATGATCGATCATTATGTAATAAGGTGTTGTGTAAGAAAATGAAATATTGAAAATAAATAAATAAATATATAATTTAACCGATCACGAATATGAATGATCGATTATAGTGCGTTAATAAGGTGTTTTTACAAAATCAATGTGATGTTAACGATATTATTAGGTAAAAGTATAATATTAATGGTATAATTACAACAAGAGTTAGAAATTTTAAAATTCAATAACACTAACTAAAAATGTAATGGATTATTTACTACATTATTAAGAAATATATGGTACATCAGTAGTCTAGTCCTACTAATTGGGATAGGTACAAATGTAATATTATAAATATTCTGTTATCTTTATAACTCATTTATTATTGTGGTGCATCTTTCATCTATCATTGTTGTACATTATAAGTGAGTTACATGTTAATCTAGTTGTCTTGCTTTTGTTTTACACGTGTCTATTTTTGGCTTATTCAGCAGTATTTTTTTTAACTTTTTATTCTCAAATATTTTCAGTATCATATCGAAAATTCCCTTGAATGTACGTACTAGTCTACTTGCACCCTTATACATCTGGGGGTGAGTTCGTGCCCGGCCTGACATTTGGTGTTTTTATGCCACGTGTCGTTCTCTTTTGAATTTATATATTTTGTTTGTATGAGAGTGTGCAACAACTAAATGAATCCCAGAGGATATGCTTTTGACAAGATTCGACTTTGCTTTCCCTTCAATCCACTATGGTGCATTTGGTACGGAAGGATAAAAAGAGAGTAAAGAATAAGGGCGTCTGTAGTTGCGTTTCAAAAATTATTTTTTGTTCTCTAAATTTTGTAAAAAAAATGATATTTACAACAAAAAAATAGGAAACAAGCATAGTTTATTTTCAGAATTTTTTTTAAAAATTTTGGAAATAAGAAGAATAATTTTGGGTTTGAACAATATCTGTCCTTCAAATCTTTTTTACCAGCAAAAGTCTTCATTTCTTTTTTTTTTTTTTTTTTTTTCTCTCTCTCTCTCTCTCTCTCTCCATATTTTTTTTTTTCCAACGTNAATAATTTTGGGTTTGAACAATATCTGTCCTTCAAATCTTTTTTACCAGCAAAAGTCTTCATTTTTTTTTTTTTTTTTTTTCTTTCTCTCTCTCTCTCTCTCTCTCTCCATATGTCTTCTTCTCCAACGTCTGTGTGTGTGTGTGTGTTCTTCTTTAGATCTAGAGATGTCTGGAGCACCGCAGCACAACGTCTCCTCTTTCTCTTTCTCTCTCTCTCTGTGTTCGTCTTCAGATTTGTGTTCTTCTTTAGAAATGGGTATATATATATATTGTGTGTGCATTGTATATATATATATATATGGGTACTGTGTATATATCTATGGGTATATATTGTGTGTGTATATATATATGGGTTTTGTGTATATATATATTAGTGTTTGTATATTTTTTTTATTGAATATGTTTAGTTTTATTTTAGATAAAAGTCATTGATGTATTTTTTTATATTAATTTTATTTTGATGAAGATTATTGAATATGTTTGGTCTATTTTAAAGTTTAATTTATTGAATTTTTTTTTATGAAATTGTTAATTTAAAAATAATTTTTTTATATTTTTTTATTAATTTTTAAATTATTGTTCAAACATATATTTAGGCTGGCCAAATAGGTTTTACTATTTTTTGTACTGTAAAATTTTTTTTGAAATCATTTAACCAAACAAGTTTTTTATCTCAAAAAATATTAAAACCATTTTCTTAAAACTCTTTTTAAAAACTATTTTTTGAAATGCAAACCAAACAGACCCTAAAATTTTTATCATTGAAAAAAAAAAGTTATTTTTTTTCTTTTTTGTTTAGTGAAAGAGATAGAAAGTAAAAAAAATATATTTATTATCGTTTGATATTAAATGGAAAACATAAGAAAAGTGAAAATATGCGTGCCTAATTTACAATTCCACCCTTAAATAAATCCAATTAATCCATTTGTAACAAAGAAAGTAGTTGTGTAGGCTCGATTACATTGTGTAGGTTAAGCGTCGTGTGGGACCAGTCCACCTATATATGGACAGGGGGTGCAACTGTGCAAGTTCAATATAATATGTTGGGTAAATTTCACTCACACCCCTATAGATAAGCCTAAATAGAAAAACATTCATTTCTTTTTCTAAAATTTCACTGACAGCTATTATCAATGTTTGCCCTCTGACGGCACTAAGAGAAATGACGTTTTTAAATTCTATTGCAGTCTAATTTAATATTGTAATTCACTGCTTATCTAAACAATTGTCATTTTATTTTATTAAATTAATCTGATTAATTCCACTGCTACAATTATAACCGATGTTGTCACCGCCACAGTCGTGCCTCTGCCACTTTTCCTCTCTAACTCTCTCACCCTTTCCCTCTTCATCCACAAAATTATGGGTACGAGTACCAACAATTGACAAACAGGACAAACTAAACAAATTGATTATCGGGTATCCTATCTATCCTTAAAAACAAAAAAATTTAGGACCTGTTCGGTTTGCGTTTTAAAAAATAATATCCAAAAATAATTTTTGAGAAGAATTTTAATAAAATGGTTTTAATATTTTTTGAGATAAAAAACTTATTTCGTTAGATGATTTCAAAAACAATTTTATAGTACAGAAAATTATTTTTCATGTTTAGATAGTCTAAATATATGTTTGAACAGTAATTCAAATATTAATAAAAAAATATAAGAAAGTTATTTTTACATTGACAATTTCATAAAAAAAAATTCAATAAACCAAACTTTAATATATATATATATATATATACACACACATACACAATATATATATACATTAGTCATAATCTGTGTCTGAAGACACGATAGAACAAAAAATTCGAGTCCTAAAAAATCAATATCACTATATTAAATAATAATTTTTCTTTCTTCATTTATTTGATCAAATCATTCAAAATTTATTTTTACCCATTATTTTTTTAAAGATATTGACTAATTTTCTCAAAATATGTAATTCGATAAATTTTTTTAACAGATCTATACTATCGTGTGTGGATA